GGACATGATGGAGAGAAGGAAGGTAGATATACTGTGTGTGCAGGAGACCAGGTGGAAGGGTAGCAAAGCATGTAGCATTGGAGGGGGATACAAACTATTTTATTATGGTGTGGACAGGAAGAGAAATGGGGTAGGAGTGATCCTAAAGGAGGAGCCTGTGAGGAATGTTTTAGAGGTGAAAAGAGTGTCAGACAGGGTGATCAGTTTGAAGTTGGAAATTGAAGGGGTAATGTTGAATGTAGTCAGTGATTATACTCCACAAGTAGTGTGTGAGTTAGAAGAGAAGGAGAGATTCTGGAGTGAGTTAGATGAGGTGGTGGAGAGTACTCCCAGAGGGGAGAGAGTGGTGATTGGGGCAGACTTCAATGGGCACGTTGGTGAGGGGAACAAAGGTGATGAGGAGGTGATGGGCAGGTTTGGTGTTAAGGGAAGGAACCTAGAAGGACAGATGGTGGTGGACTTTGCTAAGAGGATGAAAATGGCCATAGTCAAGACAAGGTTGTGTGCAGCCAACAGTGTGCACAGCTCTGCTCTGCACAGTTAGCAGACCTGAAAGCTCTGACTCATGCATGTGAGCTTGCTGAGGGCAAGCATGCTAATGTGTATACAGATTCAGCTTTTGCTCATGGTGTTTGTCATCTGTTTGGTTCAGCATGGAAAGGAAGAGGCTTCAGGAAAGCTGATGGTTCGCCCGTGTTGCATGGGGACCAAATCAAGAAGCTGTTAACAGCAATGATGAAGCCAACAGCTCTGGCTATCATCAAGTGTGCAGCTCATCAAAAGGATGATTCTGTGGTCACACAAGGAAATGCGGCTGCTGACCAAGCAGCGAAGAGTGCAGCCTCTGCAGGTCAAAAAGCAATCATGGTCATCAATGACATAGAGGCAGAGGAGCACATAACTCTCAAGGATTTATCCCGGCTACAAGATGAAGTACCAGAAGCTGAATCTCAGCTATGAGTGCAGAGAGGAGCAGTCAGAGATAGTGAAGGAGTGTGGAGGAACCATGAGGGGCTCCTGGTGGCCCCTAGTGGGCTGCTGTCTCTGTTGATAACTGAAGCTCATGGGTTGAACCATGAGTCCAGAGGTGAAGTGTTAAGGAGACTTAGAGAGTGGAATTTTTGGGCTCAAGTTGATGTGAGACATGTCTGAAGTGCAATATTCGACGGGGCACCTGCCGGTCCCAGATGGCCCATTCATGCACTTGACCATGGATTTTGTGGACATGGTCAGACCAGTGCAGGGCAAAAGACATATGCTTGTGGTTATAGATCGGTTCAGTAGGTGGCCAGAGGCCATGCCTGCTAAACTCAATAATGCAGAGACAGTAGCTAAGTTTCTGTGTAAAGAAGTTTGTCCAAGGTTTTGGCTTGCCCATTAAAATCAGTTCAGATAATGGGAAGGAGTTTGTGGACAAAACAGTGAAGTGTGTTTTGCAAAAGCTAGGAATCAAGCAATGTTATGGTAGTGTGTATTGTTCCAACCTCACAGTCTGATGTTGAAAGATCTAATGGGATCCTGAAAAAAAAACTGCTTAAGATTTGCATGAGCACTGCGTTAAACTGGGTAGATGCTTTGCCGCTAGCGCTCATGGCATGCAGAGCAAGCACACACAGAACGCTGGGGCTAACACCACATGAGGCTTTGCTTGGCAGGCTATTGCTTTCACCAGCGTACAGCTGGATATTTTGACAAATGACATGAAGTCATATATGAAGCAAATGACTAACATACACAGGAGTATCTCTTCCCGTGTTGTTTCTCTACAGGCTAGAGAGGTCCAGGAGGATGAAAAGCCCAAAGTGAAACCAGGAGACTTGGTGTATGTTAAAGTATTCAGGAGAAAGTGGGACTTTCCTCGACGTGAAGGTCCATACGAGGTGGTCAGTGCAACTGCCCGTGCAGTGCAAGTGAAAGGTTCACCTACGTGGTATCATCTAAACCACTGTGTGAAGGTCCCTGTGGACACAGACAGCTCTGAGGCAGAAGTGGTGCCAAAAGAAGAAGATGAACATCACCTGGAGAAGCAGCCAGTGTCAGAGGAGGGGAGTGACCTTGATACTTCTCCTGACAGCGACATTGGTCATGATCCAGCTGTGCTTCCACTTCCTTGACTCTCCAGAGGAGGGAGAGCAAGGGAGGGATGATGGAGCTGTGGTAAGAAGCAAAAGGGCTGCACCTAGGGAATGGCCAGGCATGCAAGACTGGATATCGAACGACAAAGATTGGAGATATACGGAGCATGACACTTGG